GCCTGGTTCAGTAAAATATCACTGTACTGTTTTTTTTTTTTTTCAACTTTGTTTACTCGGAAGCAGAGATTTCTTTGCCCTCATGATAAGGAAGTAATTGTTTTCTGACAGATGACAGCATAGCTGCCCCCAGACTCGTATCCAGGTGAAAAAAGATCAGCGCAGTTGGACCAGTTGTAGATATCAAAATCATTTATGTTTTGACAATTCTATTTTTCGTTTGTTTGTAAAATGATGTAGTATACGTTCTAATGATTGTGTTTTGATTTAGATATAAGGAGCTTGCTTAGTGCTGTAGATTCGTTCACCTTTAAGCGTCTACTTGTACAATAAGCTCAGCGCAAATATCAAAGCCGGTGTCACGCATTATATTAATTAGGTTGTTTCGTGAAAGGTTTCAATTTCGTCTGGTGTGAACTTGTATGTTCCTGCCAGGAATGTTTGGGCGAAGGTGCTGCGGTAGCTGTATCCGCTAGGTGGGCTGTAAGTATGACCAAGCTCGCTGAAAGAATTGCTATTAGATGACGCGTAGTTGTTGACGTAAATGTCATGTCCTCCTCCGAATGTAGGCCCATAGGATGAGCGAAAGTATGTGGAATATTTGCTAGAACTATATGGCCCTGACTGAGACAATTTGACAGGCGCCCATCCTGGCTTGTTTACCAGCGAAAATAAGAAGGCTTTTGAGTCGTATTGATACGAATGCCTCTATAGAGGAGTTCGGTTAAGGAGTCTTAAGGCTTGCCGGGTTACTTGATAAAACCTTTGGTAACTTTGATTTTTGTGGTAAGACAGTTGTTATTTACGCTTAGCAAACGTACCAGAATGTTTGTTCTGTAGACGAAAAGTAAAGTGTTCTTCATACAGTGTAAAAAATGGGTCAATTCATATAAATAAAAAGGGACTAAGTTGGGATCGCAAAAATTACAGCTTTGCCCAAAAGTGACTAAGATAGGGTCTATAATTGATCACAGACTAGACTATAATGGGTTAGGGGCTCTTAGACGCCAGCGGCACATACCCAGCAAAAATTTACCCAAGTTCCCTTCCCCCCGGGATTGAAATGTGTGCGTAGATCTAGAAATCTAGAATGTCAGCTTGGCTTTCCCTTAGAAGCAACAAGGGAAGAAGCATGAGGACAAATTAAAAAGTTGTTAACCTTGTTGTTGACCGCAACCTCCAAAAGGTTAATTTTATGTTAGAAATGTGAACCTTATCATTTATTCCGTTGATTTGTTCGTTATATTTTCTCGATTCACTTTTTTAGCGACGTTTTCACTACCGCCGCCGTCGTCGTCGTCATCGTCGCTTAAGGTCCCTAATAACCTTTCTCAGGCTACGGCTTAAGCAAAGGGTAAGTAATTCATGAATTCTTATTCACTCCTTCTTTCAACGTTTGGGTAGTTATTTTACCGTTTAGTGCAATTTTAATTTTGCATAGGTACCGTATTTTAAGGACCTCTTTAAGCAATTGGTAGACATTCTAAAACTTTAGTAGAGGGTAATAACGTAAACCCTTAAAGCTCTCCTGTAAAACGACAGAGAGAAGGAGAAGTTAGTTAATTGCAGTCTAAAATTAGCCCGCAGCAACGATAAGTTTCCAAGTAATTAGGATTCCAAAATACAGAAAAAAACGCGCTTGAATTAGAATATGGACTCTTTATAATAATTTGTGGTTATTTGTTCTGAAATTAATACTACCTGTGTATCCAAGCTTTGGCGAGGAAGTCTGTGCAGCCACGTACATCTATATTTTTTCAATGAAAATAGAACTTTGTTAAAATACAATCCGTGATATAATTTGTGGATATAAGTTGCTACTTGTTGTCCTAGAGAAAAAAAAAACCTATGATTGAAAAACGTTTTCCTGCATGCTTAATATTTAAAATAGCCGCTTCGCTTTTAGTAAATATATTACTATTGACCTATTTACGTAAAACGTAAAAAAAATGTTTCGACCTAAATGTGCAAATTTTTCTCAATAGAGCAGTGATTTTGAGATTATATTCTTTGTTCCTTTAAAGTATCTTAAATATTTTTACTTGATCACCTCCTTTCAATTAAATGAGTAGGCTATCTTTAACTTGTAAATGAAAGTAATTTGAGACTTTGGTGTTTTCTTCTAGCTTATTCAGGTGCCTCGGTTTATTATTTACTTGGTTGATAATGAGTGTTAGCTCCTCAGTTATTATGAAAGGTGCACAGCTGTGTCAGTATACACGATTCCAACCAAGAGCCTGAAAACGTGAGAATTTAGGATAATCAAGGAAGAGGCGCCAGTCTTTTATCGGATTTTCATCTCAAAAAATGTTTTTTTTTTCTCTAACCATAAAGAAGAAAAAAGAAAACTAAAACTAAAACCAATAAATAAACAACAATACAAGAAAAAACAAACAAAACAAAACAAACAAACAAAAAAAACACACACAAACATCAGGTAATACTATTCGCCAATCTCATATTTGTGATGATCACCACCAGTCGTCCTCTTGTGACGAGTGCTTTCTTTCTTCGATCACCAACGCAAAAAAATCACATACTAGATGTTTCGCAACCGGTCTTCGTTTTCAGTTCAACCTTACTTTTAAAGTAACTTCCGGTATGGTCAGTGGAAAGTTGCCAGTAGCTTATACCCTTTATTTAAAACTCAGGCCAGATTCATAGCTTTCATTACCGCCCTCGAAGAAACAAATATTAGTTGCCCAAAATCACTCTTTATGTCTGATGGAGAAGGATAGAGTGCTTTCAGTTTGTACTTGTCATATCACATTAAAATACATCAAACTTGTTTCAAGTTTTCGATTTGAAGCTCAAAAGTACTGCCGTATATGGGCTACATAGGTGTGCCGCTATGAAGGGTATGGTTTCAAGCAGTATACTCTGGGATAGCGTATATAAACCAGAAAGTTTGGGTCTAGAATAGGGTATCATTTTGTAGGAAACTGATCAATTAGCTGAAAACTTTAGTCTAGACTTGGGAAACCGGAAATTACCTCTCAAAAATATATTAAAAAATCAAATCGATTTTGTTTTGGCTGGACTGTGCTAATAACCGCAGTAGTTTCTGGACGAAATCAGCTACTCCAGCTATAATAGGGGGGATTTGGGGAACTTAATGTAGTATAGGGTAGCAAAATTCAGCTGAACTAGCTCTGGTATAGGCTAATTGGGGGGAGGCTAAGGGTCCAAGGTCCCAGCAGCACATGCCCACCCCAAAATTCCTTAATCCCTTCCCCCCGGCCCCTCTCTTACGAGATACAAGGACTGAAGAGTGAATGATAGGCTATTCTTTTTAGAAATACTCCATTCTGAGGTCAATTTTTTAACCTGTCAAGTCAGTGTTGCATATAAAGCAACGTTTCCTGAGACTCCAAAGAAGTGCACTTTCACCCGACCAATAATTTTTCCCAACTAAAAACCACGCTATAAAATTGGCATGTGGAAGTCAGTGGCAATGCCGCTGACGCGCTAATGTAGGTAGGCTTCTTTTGACCGCTGTGGCTATATGACCGGTAACCGGTCAAGGTGTTGAAAACACTAAATGACTGGCATTCCTGTATTCTCAATGAATTTCACAAAATCGAAAAATTCCAGCTAATCTAAACTACCATATCATGTCGATTAAGAAAAGTCAAGCGGTCTTGAAATGCTTTATAGATCTCAAGTCTAGCGTTTGGTTTACGCTGGACTCAGAAGACGAAACCTTTGTGACACTCAGACTTTTTTCAGCTCGCCTGCCGATCAAGGTTTTCAAAACAATAAATGACTGGCAGTCGTAAGTGTCACAAAAAAAGTACTGTTCTGTGCATAGTTAGTAGAGGGCACTAGTTGGGAAAAACGGCAAACTTTAAAGGACTCAGGGCTATTGTTTCCCGTTAGAGGTTGAGACAACACGTCACGTGACAACACAGTCTTCTCTAAAATGAGTGGAGTGCACTTCGGTCTAAAAAAATT